CTTTCACATCTCACAAAAGTCAACTTACAGTGGATAATAGACTCAAAACTAAGGCATCAAACGATGAGAATTCTAGAAGAAAATGTTGGAAAAACTCTTACAGACATTGGCCTAGGCAAAGAATTTGTGAAGAAGACCCCCAAGGCAATCACAGCAACAGCAAAAATAAATAAATGGGACCTGATCAAATTAAAAAGCTTCTGCACAGCCAAGGAAACTATCACAAGAGCAACAAGACAACATACAGAATAAGAGAAAACATATACATGTTCCGCATCCTATAAGGGCTGATAAGTAGAACCTATATAGAACTCAGGAAAATCAGCAAGAAAAATCAAGCAGCCCCATTAAAAAGTGATCTAATGACATTAACAGAAATTTTCAAAAGAAGATAGACTAAAGGCCAAGAAACATGAAAAAATACTCAACATCTCTAACCATCAGGGAAATGCAAATAAAAACCACAATGAGATATCACTTAACTCCAGTGAAAATGGCATTTATCAGAGAGTCCCAAAACAATAAATGCTGGCATAGATGCAGAGAGATAGGAACATTCCTGCACTGCTGGTGGGACTGCAAACTAGTGGTAACTCTGTGGAAAGCAATATGAAGATACCTCAAAGAGCTACAAGTAGAACTACTGTTTTGTTCAGCAATCCCATTTCTGGGCATCTACCCAATGGAAAAAAAGATAAAAAAGACATCTGTACTAGAATGTTTATTATAGTATAATTTACATTTGCAAAGATGTTGAAACAATCCAAGTGTCCATCAATACATGCATGGATTAATAAAATGGTGTATGTATATCATGGAGTTTTACTCAGCCACAAAAAACAATGGTGATCTCACACCTCTTGTATTATCTTGGATGGGGCTGGAGCCCATTCTAACAAGTGAAGTATCACAAGAATGGAAAAACAAGAGCCACGTGTGCTCACCATCAAATTGATATTAACTGAGCAATGCTTATGTGCACATATAGCAGTAACATTCATCGGGTGTTGGGCAGAGGGGAGGGGAGTGAAGGAGATGTGCATATTCACACCTAATGGGTGCAATGTGCACTGTCTGGGAGATGGACACCCTTGAAGCTCTGACTTGAGTGGGACAAATTCAATATATGTAACCTAAACATTTGTAGCCCTGTAATATGCTGAAATACAAAATAAATAATTAACTAAAGGAAACTACATAGGCTTAAAAATAAAATTAAAAAATTTAAAAAATAAAGTGTCCAAGTAAGGATTGATTGCCTTCCTCTTCTCATGAACCTAAGCCAATTCTCCTATACATACATCTCTATTCAAAAGCAGTAAGACTCGAGACAGTAAAGCATGTAAAAGAAACCCATAACCATATCCATCTAGACTTAGAATAGTAATTTTCAAATACAATTTTGCCCCAGAAAACTCCACCCATTTACACATCAACTTAAATAGAATCATAATATTTAAAAACATTTCCAATTTAAATCACTTTCATTTGAAAAGCTAGTAGATGTCATATAAGTCTTTGAAATGAAAGTATTCTGAAATTAATGAAATAATGTGTTTCCAGTGTCACACTGAATTGCAAGTTGTCATTAAAACTCAAACTGCAATATTAAAATATTTGTACATCATGCTTCATTAGCCTATTCAGTCTGCCTTAGCATTTGAATAGAGTCATGACTTGAGAGGAAATGCCCCAGCATGTGAATAGGTGATTTCAAGTCATGACTTGAGAGGTCTACAGTGTTTTGAGAGGGAAAAGTGTCAGTAAGCAAGGCTCTTTTCCATATCAGTGTGGGGTTTAGGATGTGTTGCATGTTAGGTTTAGTTAATGTATCCAGAGAAATCACTCATAGATTAACTTTCAAAATCTGTTGATTTTCTCTTCTTATTGCAGTTATGCTATACTAAGACTGCCATATAATAGATCACAAAAGGCCGGGTGTGGTGGCTCATGCCTGTAATCCTAGCTCTCTGGGAGGCCAAGGCGGGCGGATTGCTCGAGGTCAGGAGTTCGAAACCAGCCTGAGCAAGAGCGAGACCCCGTCTCTACTATAAATAGAAAGAAATTAATTGGCCAACTAATATATACAAAAAATTAGCCGGGGCATGGTGGCGAATGCCTGTAGTCCCAGCTACTTGGGAGGCTGAGGCAGGAGGATTCCTTGAGCCAGGAGTTTGAGGTTGCTGTGAGCTAGGCTGACGCCACGGCACTCACTCTAGCCTGGGCAACAAAGCGAGACTCTGTCTCATAAAAAACAAACAAACAAAAAAAAAAAAAACAAGAGACTTGAATTTTGTGGTCTGGAAAGTTTCAATGTAGCAACCATTCACTTTAAAATGTTTAGAATTCTTATATATTGTTGATTCTTATTTGGCTACAAACAAAAGGTACCTTATAAACCCCAAATAAGTGCTTTTTAAAAAAAGTGTTTTGCTGTGAACCATTCTTTTCTACTAGGTCACATATTGAAGTTGATTATACATACAATTCAGAAGACAACATGGAACTGTTGTTAAATAATATATTAATTGACGACTCATGGTGATTTTAAATAGATTTATATTATTTGATAATCACAGCAACATTGTGAGATAACCAGGGCAGATATGATGATGTTTGATAGATAACAGAATCAGGAGTAGTGCTGCTAATTGTGTTTTTCTCCTTATGCTAAATTAAGTACATTAAAAATTCAATTTCTAAGTAAATGCAATGAAATTAATTAATCTACCACACTTATTTCACTTGACCATATTGTATAATTCTTTTTGACTTTGCTCTTCTCCATTGAGTAGAAACCAAATGCTGATAGGGTAGATCCAGTCTTTTTCCCCATCATTATCATCAGAGAAAAATTAAAGATATTTAGATCTTTAGATAACAGCTTATTAATGCATTCCAATGAGTTATTTACTAAGTGGAAACAATGTATTAATTGCATCATTTTGCCTCAAATACTTTTTCTCTGGTTATTAATATTGAAATTAAATCAACTATTCATCTTAGGAAGTGGAATAAGACATAACCATCATTCAGTACATATGCAATTATTACTGACACATTATGATACATTGAGCCATTTAGACCCTTAAGGACATTGTGAATGTGACCTAATTACTTATAAAAACTGAAATAAAATAAATAAATAAATAAATTCTACTATGCAAATCTTGTGTAAAACTCAGAGAAATCAAATAATTACTGTGATATAACTAATAATTGAACTAGGTATGTTTTTATCAGAATGAATATTGGTAATATACTTTAAAGGTGAGGGTGTATTCCCATATATTCAAAAATTTTCTAACAGTGAGCCAAAATATAATCTGTAAAACTGATTAATTGGTAAAGATTTTTTTTATAATTTTTGAGAGAGAGATAATTACAATATAATTAAGCATACTGTTCATTTCCACATATCCTGGGAAATAATTCAATTATGGAAATTTCACTATGTAATCCATGCAAGGGTATCTTCTTACTTCTTGTTGGGATTAATTTATTGTGAGAAAAATCTTTAATCATTAAAGAATTCTAATGCAATAGGTTAAGTTTATGTGTTTTTCTTTCACCAGCAAAAGTTAAACAATCTAACATTGAGAATGGTATCTCTTTTAAATAATAATGATCAAGTGACTTTCTTATACCTACCTAATGTATTTATCACCTAACCAGGTAACCAAATAACTTTTCTTAAAATTTTTGTAGTGCTAAAAAATTAGAACTTTAATGTCTATCAAATATATTATTCCTTTTTGTTAACATTTTATGTGATTAATGTTTCTTTTGTGAAAAAAAAAGAGCTAGTTGAGAATATTAAAGAAAGGATGGTGCTTCACAAGTATAAGGAATCAGTTTATTGACTACACATGAACATATTGTACAGTTTATGTATTCACATTATGTTTTGATTTGTGTGTATATGAATGCCTGTAAATAATTCTCTTATTGTAGTTATTGATTTACCTACTCAAGTTCATGTTAATAATACATGTTTAGTTTATGTAACCCTTCTTTATAACTTCCATTAGTCAATCATGAGATTGTTTTCCAATACAAAAGAAGGGTGAGGTAAAACCATAGTTTCCCTTATTTAACAGATTAGATTGATAATCAAAGTGAGCATTTTGTTATTAATTATATTTGAAGTGCCTTTTATATTTTATTTTCTAATACATAACAAATGAATAATTTGTGTTGAAAATAAATAATTTGCCTTTATCTTTTAATAATATATTCAAAAGACAGCCACATGCATGCTATATTTTGCTTTTCATCCATAAATATTGATTAGGAGTCAGTCCTGTCAATAGCTAGCACAATGTTCTGAATAAAATAACTAAAGCTTTTGGGTAACAATATCTTCTTTAAATAAGTAAAGATTTACACAGGAAATACTATATTAATATAAAACATATTTTTGCTTTGGTGTCTCCCCAAATTGGTAGTTAAGCATTTTGTTTGCTATGTGTAAGTAGATAATTCATACATTATTAAAAATACACAAAACAGAATAGCATGTTTGGTATTAGCTAGGGAAAATATGAAGCTGCTATATCAGATATGCACAGATGTTGATTCATTATGGAAACATATTTAAGAAATTAATTCATTATGGAATCATATGTAATTTTATCAAATGTAATAGTCTTTGTAGTTATTTTGATATCTGTTAGCGTTAATGTTGTTTCTTATTTTATATTTTTGTTTCCTCTTTAGACCTATAATTATTCTGTCAGAAATTATCAATATATTGAATATTAACTTATCCTTGTAAACAAACATAAAGTTTAAAAGGCCACAGAAAATTTTGATCTCTTAATTTTCTTGTGCTTTTGTAATTCTCTTCTTTTAATACTCATTATACAGTTAAAATAAAAATGGCAGAGTAATGTTTTTTTAAGCAATATCAACAATAACAGACAACATTAACTTCACAGAAGCAAATAGTAATAATTCATTATTATTAACTGTGTATGTGTATTTGTGTTTCTTTTTAGTCAATCTACTGGATTCAAAAACAATTCAAGGGGAGTTGGGCTGGATCTCTTATCCATCACATGGGGTAAGTTCAATGAACTATGGAAAGGGAGCAAGATTCTCTCCATTACCTCTCTTGGGAAGCCAGTCGAATTATTGATGTGTTCTCTAAAGGTAACTCCTGTACTTCTGGTGAGACATTATGTTTATAAGTATATTCAAGGCATGGAACTATCACAATTTAGTACTTGTGTTTAATGGAACTATTACAAATTTTGAAGACTGTGGTTTTTTTTCTCTTCTGAATTTATCAATTATTTAAGTGAAATAATTTAATTATTATTAGTATCATGTCAATGATGTGTGGTCATCTAACATTTTTCTGTGATATAATCAGGATAGTGAATTGATAAGACATTTTAAATTTCATACCAGGTAGATATTGTATATTTGGAGATTGTGGTCTCCGAAGTTGTAGCCTTGACATTAACCTTGCTGACTATTCCATGTCGGTTAGAATTTATCAGCAGTGTAAATCTATGCAGCCTTAATTTCTTTGTTTAAAATGTCTGCAACTTACCTAAATCAGTTTAAAGCTGGGTATTTTACTAAGAAAAAGACCTGGTGCTGCCTTTACATTTTTTAACTTTCTGCATAGCTTGGGTATTTTATCAAGCCAGACACGTATTACTAGGGTTTGTGGTATTTTGGTTCTCTGAATTTGTAATGAGACTTTTGTATGAGAACATTTTCCTTTGATTTTTTCAGAAAATAGAGGATCCTACATTTGTAAAACTCTGATTCCTATACAATTGTGTAATAAATGCCTGAACATAACATTGTTTCCAAGTATAGCTTATAAAAATGTAAAGTTCCATTTTGAATATTTGTCATAGTAACAAATTTATGTATTCCTTTCTTTCTATGATAGTTCTCTTTGCAAGAAATTATAATTACTTCCACTAAGTATTGGTGGTCAGTCTTTAGATTTGTGTACTTAAACAAACTAATTTGTATTGTACTACCTGTTTCTTCACCAAGGGATGTTTTCCATCAGAGATACTTCATCTATCTGTCATCTTTGTATCTGCTTCTCTTCCTGGCACACCTTGACATTGACAAAATGCCAAAACCTATAATCAGGACTTCGTTAGTTGCTTTGGAGGGAGAGTATGAAGTAAGCCAGGATTTGGTTTTCCCATAGGTGTAAAAGGAATCAAATGATTAGGATAAAAGCACAGCCTGGGTTGTCATAAACAGTGAATTGAAACTCAAGATTGAGCTGGAAAACTCATTTAAAACTATCATCCAAAAGTCAGACCTAACTTTAATCTTGAGTTTAGAAATTTTTTTTTTTATTATACCATCAGATAATATACTATAGAAACCTGCTGGTTAAGGATATAAGAAAAAGCAAAAACCCTAGTGACATTTTACTAATAGATATGTATATGTGTATTTGTTTAAAACAACAATAGGAAATTAACTTGTTTATCAAAGCAACAGTCTATCTTATTTTTTTAAGAAGTTATAAAGATAAATTAATTGATCAACACGTGAACATAGGGAAGTAACATTCATCAGTTGTTGGGTAGGTGGAGGGGAGGAGGGGATGGGTAAATTGACACCTACTGAATGTGGTGTGCACTTTCTAGGGGATGGGCATGCTTGTAGGTCTGACTTGGGTGGTGCAAAGGCAATATATGCCAACAAAGTGTTTGTACCCCCATAATATTCTGAAATAAAAAAATTTTAAATTTTAATTTAAAAAAATAGAAAAAAAAAAGAAAGTATAAAGGTAACATGTTTCTGTGTGTTGAGAACTGGGGGAAATGTATTCCCCCATTGTTAATCTCATAGATTTTTGTGATGAGAGTTGGCACTTCTACTTCCAGAGATATGTTCGGAGCAGAGGTGGGGTGTTCTAGCACCTTGATGCATAATGTGTGGCTCGTGGACCAACCAGTAACATTAACATTTGAGAGATTATTAAAAATGCATATTCTTAGGCTCTGCCCCTGACTCTCTGAATCAGAATCTGCATCTCACACAATCCTTAGATGATTCTTAAGCATATTTAATTTGAGAAACATTCCCCTGTATAACTTACATCTTGATATTTCCCATTTCTGGCCCAATTTCCTACCTCCCTTTGTCTAGGAATCTCTTACAGTTTTTTTCAATTAATGATTTTCAGTTTCTTCTTCACCTCACTGTTACCTCAGAGAGCCTCCCTCAGACACTTTGACTTTCTCTTCCCTGTTTTCATCTATTGCTCTTGTAGCTGTGACTTCCCTATATCTGATGCATAAAATAGCCTAAAATAGCTAACTAATCTCTCCAATTTTATCAGTGTAATTTGCTGAAAGAAAAGAAAAATCTCCCCAATAGGTCATGATATTTATAATACCTCAAGAATTCCAAAACTAAGAAAAGAAAAAGAAAAGAAGAAGAAAATCAAGTATGTGAATTATTGGCCTATGGTGATGTGTAGTGTATATTTCCTTTAAATTTATTGCTTATATTATGTTAACCATAATATCCATGAGTAAATAAATAGTGTGAATTTAGAAAATGTTAGATTAACATTTTTTTTCTGTGAAACTGTTTGCGTTCTTGGGTGAAAGTATTGGATGGTAAATTAAGCTTTTGGATTTAACACCCTTCCTTGTACAATTGCTTGTGCCTTTAGATTCAATTAATTATATTGGTTGCCTAATCTTTTCCATTTTCACCATGAACAAGGATAGATTAACGTTGTGGTTGTTTTGTTTGTAAAGGAAATAGATATTTAAAACAATTGTTATATCTTTGTTGAAAGCTTTTCCATAAAAAAATGGCATGTAATAGCTGGAAACAACTTTGAACTTATCATTTTTAAATTAATTAACTCTAGTAACTGACAATGAGTATGACTGGAGGTTAAATAAAAGATGAATGTAAATTTCAGAGGAAAAAAATCATAACAATGTCATAACATATTGAATCATGCGAAATTCTGCTCTTTTGATTTAGGTTAGTCATTCTTAATAGGATGAAAGGTGAGGGAGGAAGAAACTTTGATTTTGCCTCACAGGGACATTTGGCAATGTCTGAAGATCTGAAGATGTTTTTACGTGTCACAACTGGGACAGGGGTAGCTCTTCTGGCATCTAGTGGAAGAGTCCAGGGGTACTGCTAAATATTTTACAATGAACATGGAGGCCCCCATAACACCCCATAACAAACAATGTATCTTAGTCCAAAGTGACAGTGTTTAGGTTGAGAACCCTTACTTAAGGGATTAATAATTGCACTCCATCAGGAGCTATGGTTACTAAGGAGATTTGGGAGACTGTCAGCTCCTTCTCTAACTTCCAATCTTATTCTAATCAGAAGCTCTAAATTCTAAATCTGTTGAAATGTAAATTTTAAAAAATAAATAAGTGATTCATTCTAAATTCAAAATGAAACTTTCATGGAATGATAACATCACCTGAGCTATATAAAATTAGCTAATTTGAGGAAAAAGAGCCAAGAGTGGCTAATTCCTTCATATATTTTCTTTTCTATTTCTATTGTCCCTTTTCTACCAAAGATGTCTTGATACATGAGACTCTACAATTAAGGTATATAATTTTCTTTGGAGGAGTATTTCTATCTCTATTTTTCAATGGTGTTCCAAATCTTAGAGAAAACCTAGCAGGAAACCTATGTACTAGAATTTGGCCTGGAACAAATCCTCTAAGAGGAAATTTAATGAAAACTTTGCTTTTATCTAAATGAAGGTCATGAAAATAATACTGAAATTTATAATCAAATTATTCTGGGGGGTCATGAATAGCAAATCATTTTTCAATGAAATAGTTTCATTTGACACATATTTTCTGGCACTATGTTTGTTCACTTTAGCAAAGCAGACAGATTCAGTTATTTTCTCTAGCCCTATAAACTATGAATTATAATATAGTATTTGAATCCTAGGATTAATTATATTCAGAAATTTTGATAAATAATGGAATAGTTTTAATATTCTTTGATTTAGAGGACAATCAACACATTTAAAAAGCCTACATACATTGTTGGTTTACATCCTAGAAATATAGTCTTTTGCTTAAAAAAGTAGGTATTTAAATTGAAAGTGCCAATCTACCAAGTAAACTTTCTTAGTCTATGTATCATTACTGAGGAAGGGTTTAAGGGAGGTAGAGCTACACAGGTTTCACTTAGTATGGTATTGATATCCTGATTATACAGTACAAATGAACCATGAGCCATGATTCATTTCATTAAAGAAACACAAATTAAAAAAAAAAATGTAGTACTGACAGGGTCTAGGGAATGTAGAAAAACAGTCTGAAATGAGTGATGTTTATTTGTGGATGAAAGAAAGAGGTATCAAAATTAGAAATTGTTTCCTTAAATATTTATTAGTTTCCTTAGCAGTGAAAATGTATTTGAATAAAAACATTCCTTTGGCAAATAAAGAGCCTGTTGACTTCCCACGCAATATCTGTTCCCTGACATCTCCTTGCCGAAGGAACATTGAAATTGTTCTAGTTATCATCCTCCTATGTGTTCCTGGAAAGTGGCCCCTACCCAATTCTCTGCGGTGAATGTGTTGATTCATCTACAAACTAATCATGACCATTACAGTAATTTTGACAGTGAATGGTTTAAGCAAGAATAAGTAAAGTCAATGAAACTGCAGCAGAATTTCAGTAATTTCTGGGAAAGGTTTTTCTCCTCATAAAGAGAAGTGTGGGGGCCAGGCGCAGTGGCTCACGCCTGTAATCCTAGCTCTCTGGGAGGCGGAGGCGGGCGGATTGCTCGAGGTCAGGAGTTCGAAACCAGCCTGAGCAAGAGCGAGACCCCGTCTCTACTATAAAATAGAAAGAAATTAATTGGCCAACTAATATATATACAAAAAATTAGCCGGGCATGGTGGTGAATGCCTGTAGTCCCAGCTACTCGGGAGGCTGAGGCAGGAGGATTGCTTGAGCCAGGAGTTTGAGGTTGCTATGAGCTAGGCTGACGCCATGGCACTCACTCTAGCCTTGGCAACAAAGCGAGACTCTGTCTCAAAAAAAAAAATAAAATAAAAAA